GAAACTGTCATTAGATCAGAGATACAAAGGGAGATACAGGTATGTAACCTGTTAAAAGGTGCATATTTTTCTTTAATAAGATTTCTCAAATATTCAGGCCAGTATATGAAAATAAATATAATGTTTAAAATAAACAGAGTGTCTACTCAAATATGGGATCTAAAAAAGTAACGTTTAAAATCAAAGAAACCCTTTGGATTAATAAATAAAAAAATCCATTACTTCTTTTTATATATGTATTAAGTGTTGGTGTTAATAAAATAATGCTCGAGCCAATATAACAGAGATATGAGCAATATATTAATAAATCTTCAAATGCTGAACTGAGTCTCAATTCAGCACTTGAAAATTCTGAATCGTACTACCAGTGAGGAAAAACATATCTATATATATATATCTATATATCTATATATATATATTGATTGTTAATAAAACAAGGACAAACGAAAGGGTACCAATATAATCACTATGAAAAATATTTATTAAATATTACTTAACCATATGACAAAATGAAGTATATATATATATATATATATATATATATATATATATATATATATATATATATATATATATATATATTTCTGTGTGTGTAAAAATTTCAGATATACCTGTAAAAAGACCATATGAATAAAGACAAAATGAAAAAGCTGATGCATTTGTCCTCTGAGAGACTTCATCATGGCAAATGATAAAGTCCCTCAGAGGACAAAATGTGTCAGCTAAGATAATTTTTCCTTTTGTCTTTATTCATATATATAATTATAGATCCTTTGGCTTTATTTTGGTACAATCTGCTTTTTTCTTTGGTATTTATTATACTAAGAAAATATAAACAGTGTTAAAATGGTCTTTGATTAAATCCTGATTAAACTTTGACTCTGATTTCCTGATTTCATTATTATTGTACTCATAAATGGGAATGAAAATTACATTTATACTTACATATGAGAAAGAGACATTTCTGGGACACATAATGGAGGAAGAGGATTTGGAGAATTTAACACTCACAGGGCATATTGGATGCAAGATGGGTAGAGTGAAACAACGACTAATCTTCCTAATTATGTAAATGAATGATAGAGCTGTGTCTGGGATAAACTGTAAGGGGACAAATGTTACTTAGAGCTACAAATGACAAGAAAGTGTGGGAGCTGTGATCACCCACATCCTGAAGGAACATAACATGTAAAAGAAGAAAAATATTTAATCTGTCAATGCCTGTGTACAATCTGATAATTGGTCAATCCCCAAGGACCACTTTTATGATCTCTGGATAATGATAGTCTTGCTTTTATCCATTCTAAGAGTTGTGGTTGCTTATTATAGAGCATTACATTACAACCAATCAACTTTTTTCTAGAGTTGAATGCTGATATAATACCTGATGCCATATCTAGCAAGTGATAAGGTCATGGTTAATGTAATTGATATTTGCATACTAGTATTATCTTACCAGTTTCTGCAATGAATCTATCTTGGCTTTCTTTGAAAGGATTTCCAGATATTCTTCTTGCTATATGTTATGGGACCTACCTTTATGGACTAAATGGACTCATCCTATTACTATATTATGCCTCTCAAGAGAGCTGTCTACAGCTGACAAGTTGACTACTGTACTTTGCTGTCAGTCAGATGTGCAACACTTTTGTATTCGTTCTTTTTGTTAATAATCTGTTTTCACTAAATTGCTGAGTTCGAGTTTTTTTCGGACCTATTCTGGGTCCACAACACTATAAAACACTCTTCAGTACAACAATTAGTTATAATAATAATAATTGTTGCTCATCAACTTCTACATAATTAAGACAAAATATTAAAATTAAATTCATCAAGTAATCTATATATAAAATTCTTTGACTTCCATTAGCCCGTTTGTCCCTCACACCCTCTAAATTAGCCATACATTGACCGATTGAATCCAGATCTTGGGGAGAAGTGTAAATATGTAAGAGGGTACAAAGTACAGTTGGTTTTACACTTGTTTGTAGCTTAGAACAATAAATTTTCATTAAATTTTTTAGGAAAATTAAAAGTTTTATTATTTAACATACAAAATACCCCTGCTATTTTAAAAACAATTTAATGATTAAAATAAAAAAAATACTTATTTAATGAAAATGCTATATATTTTTTGCATATCTTTTCATATCGTTTTTATATGCAAGAATTCAGTTTCCAGTTCATCTTGCATTTGTGAGAACTACAATCAAGTTACAAGGCCAAAAGCTTCAAAAAGTTTGAATCTGACTCTACAAAGAAATATTTATACATGGCCAGTTGTATGTTGCATGCTCAAGAGTAAGAAATCCTAAGAATTTATTCTTCACTGTTAAAAAGGGAAAAAATAAATTTTCTTAAAAAATAATGTTTACCATGAAATCCTATTAAGGAAATTATTAAACCTTGAAGTAGGGTTTTTGTCAAAGTATTTTTTCCAAATAAATCAGCTTATTTAAATTTCATCTATTTGATTGTGAAATTGAACAAAATATAGAGTTTGTAAATCTCAAAAAAAATGTTAGTAATAGCTTCAACAATGCTAAATACTGTGAGGATTTCAACACACATCAGTATGTCACAAAAAAATTCTAGTAAAGTTAAAAAGGAGCATTATTAGGATTATAAAATTATTTATAAAGCATTAAAATGTTTCTCTGAGAAAAATAGTTCATATCCATCTTTCCAGGATGAAGTCCAAATAATAGGTAAGGAATATTGTTGGATAGTAAGAAAAGTGAAGGAAGCAATATACATGATCATTTTGGGATGAGATCCAAATCATGTATAGGAAATGTTGTTGGAAAGTAAGAAAATTGAAGGAAGTGGCATACATGATCCTCTCTGGAATGATATCAAATAATAGATAGGGAACATTGTTGGAGAGTAAGAAAATTGATGAAAGTGGCATACATGAACCTCTCTGGAATGATACCAAATAACATATAGGGAACATTGTTGGAGAGTAAGAAAATTGAAGGAAGTGGCATACATGATCATCTTTGGGATGAGGTCCAAATAATGTATAGGGAATGTTGTTGGGAAGTAAGAAAATTGAAGGAAGTGGCATACATAACCTCTCTGGAATAATGCCAAATGATAGATAGGGAACGTTGTTGTAGAGTAAGAAAATTAAAGAAAGTGGTATGCATGATATTTCCAAAACATTTCCAAAACTTAATAACTGGTCTGTATAAAATCAGGACAAGGATAAGATGTCCTAGATACAAATAAGATATCTTATAATTAGCTTCACTTATTTTTGACTGAGGCTTGTATATAATCCTTCCCCACCTTTAACACAGGTCTTTTACCTAAACAGTATCGATTTAATCAGTTGAATCTAATAATGCTTAAAAATTGATTACTCAATGAATAGGAAAACTTTACTTCAAAATGATAAAATTCATGCAACCTCCCTGTAGTAAATATAAGCAGAGTTGCCTTAATTAAATTAACCATTTTTAATACAAAAATTTATAAACATGGTATATTGAACAGGTTTAAAGTAGTTGTAAATTATAGTTTTATTATCATACACTAATTAGAAACCAAAGTAGATATATTTCCTGATTTATTGACTTCAAAAGACAAGTTATTTCATAAAACTTGGAGATTATGGATTTTACAAGAATAAAAGGGGTTCACATGTCAAGAAAGCTTTTGTCAATTTTGAAATCAAAAAATGACATAAATTATAAAAAATTATAAATTTCCTTACTCCATCACATATGTATATATATATATATATATATATATATATATATATATATATATAAATATATATATAAAACCATAAACTCTGTCTCTTACTCAGTAACCTTCTACTATAGTGGCTCTTGGGCCTTGTACAGGATGAACATTATTACAAAAAAATTAACTAAAGAATAAGTAAAAATTTTTTCAGCTTTTAAATTGAAGTGGCACTGAACATTTATCAGCCTTCTAGTTTTTTCTTGTTCTGTTTTTTTGCAGTAATCATTACCCAAGAGCAAGGCCCAAGAGCCACTCGAGAAAGAGGGTTACAGAATTGTTTCTAATGGGGGTTAATCTTTGTTCCATCATATAAATCTGTGCCATTTCAGTATAAAAGATAAAAAGTTGGAACAAATGGTTACTTAATATTGATTTAATGTGAAACTTATAAAAGGCATGAAAGTATATATTCCTAAGTGACCCATAATAGATTTCTTTTTGTTGAATATATCTTTCTGCCAAAGACAAAATTCTATTATTTTTACCATGACAAATTCTACTAGTGAGAGTTTGCCGATCTTTTAAAAATTCCATTATTAGAAAACTTTTTTTAATTTTTTACTTTTTCCTCTCCAAGAAAAAATAAAAAAATTAATCCTTTTGTGCAAATTAGCATATATACAAAATTTAATTTTTTAATGATTTATTTTCATAAAAGAATCATTGAATTAAATACCTTTCAATATTCTTCTTATTATTGTGATTATAGTTACTTTCAGCTGTCAATGTTTCTTCATTATTACTTCATATCATGTTTGTTTTATTATTTATTAAATATGTGGTTTCTTATTGCGACACGTAACTGGTTAGTTTTCCTAATCAAATTTGGAAGTTGCTGTCAATGTGTGTCTCCCAAGTATAAGGAATTCAAGTTCAAATCTTGTGAGTAGGTTTATCTTCAATCAATCTATGCTGCTTACCTAATTGCCATCAAATAATAACTTGAAAATTGCAATTGAAGGCAACAGAGTTAAGATGAGAGATATACTAGTAAAAAATTATTAATTAACGCTACTGCTTCATTTAAGAAATTTTGACATTCAACCATTAACTGCAGATTATGTGAACCCCTGTATTTGCAGTTCTATGGTTCAACTATGAATGAAAAATTTCAATTAATAGGTTAATACTCACCCACTCCACTCACACAACTTCAGCTAAAAACACCTTCACATTTTGAGGTTTTCTGTTTGTATAAGTAGCAAGATTATATCAATTGACAGCTTTGTAGACCTGTTACATAGCTTACAGCACCTGGTATTCCCCAGTGGTCACCCATCTGAGTACTGACCAGTTTCAATGTTGCTTAACCAATGTTCAGATGAGAAAAACAGTGTTTTGAAAATGATATGGCCATAAGCAGGTTAATACTGCTATATCTGATACTACTAATGGAAGTAAACAATATGATATGGTACTAAAAATCAGATTAGGGAAAATGTAGCTGTATGACTAATTTAAATAATCTTCTAGTTAGATTTCATAGCCTAATTTTCTAAAGCACTGTTACAGTAAAACGGGTTTCAAAAATAAGGAGGATGAGTTCATATCTGAAGAGATTCATTCTTTATTTTTCATCCATGCTGCTTATTTAGTGTTCATAAAAACATGGGGAAAGTGTTGCAACAAAAAGCAACAAAAATAAGATGAAAGAAGTACAATTAATAATAATTTATTTTTATTAAATAATAATAATTTATTTTTTTCATCTGTTCTTGAATACAGAATTTCATGTCATGTGTTTCTGTTTCCTGTTGTTATCACTGGGTTTGTGGAAATGGCAGCGGCACTCATGGTAGATTTGTTAAGGATGCTAGCTTCAAGTGTGGCAGATGTTGTGACTTTGCTAGACCCATAGATTGGCATCCTTGTAAGATAATCATTAAATAGATAATCATAAAGTTGAAGTAGTTGGCTCTTTCTGTTAACTGACTGACATGACTGGTGCTGTTGACAGTTATGTGTTTGCAACAATTGCTAGATCTAGAGCTGCTTGGGAGAAGTTTAGACAACTGTTGACATAGTGATGAATCATTACATCAGTTGTCACATTCAAGGCAGTGCTTACAACTCTTCTGTTCATGGTGTCTTGACCTAGATTGGTGAATGGAGTTACATCTAATACAAAATAATCATTGTATTATCAGGTAGATATTCAGTCATAATCCTACTGACAGATCATGTTCTGACTGTACAAACATCTGAGCATCCCTACTCTAGATTTTTAGCTAACCACCTGCAATGGATGGTTTAAACATATAATAGAAAATAATTCATATTTGATGCAATATACTGGGCTGAACATTGAAGGAAATGTTTATGCACATATGTGGGTATCTATCTATAATCTATCTCTATCTCTCTCTCTCTCTCTCTCTCTCTCTCTCTATTATATATATATATATATATATATATATATATATATATATATATATATATATATATAAAAATCCGGTATATATATATATGTATATATTTAACTCAACGAACTTGATATATGTTATATAAAGAATTTAAAAGCATGGATATTTAAAATTACAGTTAGTACTAAATTAAAAAAAGTAGACTTCCTAGATATAACTTTATAAATATATATAAAAAACCCAATTATACATATATATATTTAAACGAATTTATATTTATATACACTTTTCACACATATATATATATATATATATATATTCAACTTGTTCCTAATTTAGTACTGCTCAAAATAAACTTATTGCTAGTCCTGTTTCCATAATGCTAAGTCTGTAAACTGTAAAAACCAAAAAACTGGGTACAAAACTGATGTAAATAAACAAAAACTATTTAACCCTAAAATTGCAATTACTATACCACAAATTCATGTACCAGACCTTTAACCATTAGTGGCATCCTACTGGTACACATTAAAATTATCAAATGTTAGCAAACTGGTTGTTGGATTTTCTGAAAATAATCTTGTATATTAATAGCCATTGGTCTAGGTAAAATGTTACTTACACTATGCTTGGTCATGTACACACTTTGTGAAAACTCTAATAGACACATTTAAAATAAATAATTTAATTAATTAATACATAAAGTTTACTACCATTTATATTACAAATAAAATAGAAAATTGTAGTCATATACATGGGAAGAAAAAAACAATGTAAAAGTAAAAAATTGTAATTAAAATAAAATGACATAGATAGGAAATAATTAGGTCTCTTTAAAATAAATAAATAAATTAAATAATTTTTACAGCATAAAATTAATTTTGTTTTGAAAACAATTTTACACTATGAGTAATATTCCTTCTGTTATAAAGAATATAGTCTCCCTCGTCAAAAATTTTACTAAATGCAGTGATAATAAATATGAAATTAAAAATAAAATTAATATGACTAATGGATTGTAATGGCATAAGCTAGAACTCTCAGAACATAAATAATAAAATTCATGTATTATTTAATATTTTGAACCCAGATTCTTGGAATATGGAAGAAGCTGCAGTTTCCTAGAAAATTTTAAAATTTTAAAATTGAGGCTGAAAAGAAATTTTTAAATCTGAAAATGACTTAGAGACTTTTGTAAAATATTTTGTCATGAGATCTTCGTTAAGGATTTATGTGATTACATTGAAAATGTAATGAGAATTTACCATAAATATGTTGTACCCAAAACTAACCAAAAAGCTAAAAACATAATTAATGCCATTGCTGTAAGTTAAAAAGCATCATACTTCTGAACAGAAATATGATGAGAGCAGAATTTCAATCTGGATATATCTTAAATAAATGTTTTCTATTAAATTATCAAAATGCTTTAATTCTTTTTGATACTATAAGCAGAATAAGTTTCAAAAGATAACCTGCCTTTATAGAATCTGTTCCTTGGAATTTGGTATACCATTATTGCCTTTAACCCTCTACATCATTGGATCTCAACCTTTTTTGCCCAATGAACTCTTTTCATCATAAGTCAGACTGTGACCCATCCCCTTTCCAAGGTTGTCCGACTCAAAAAGTGTATTCCAAATAATATGCATATATTATTGAAAATCTTCATTCTTTTCCATATCAGTAAATATACATTTACATAGATTATTTTTATAGAGGAGTTTTACAAATTTAATAACAATAGAAAATGATGGATTTTAAACTTGCGTACATATGCAGTAATTTGTTTTAATTCATAACTAATTATTAAATAAATAAACTGAAGCGTATGTCAATAAATAAAAAGTTCAATAGAATGCTAGAGTATTGTAATTCTGTAAATAAAAAGCAAGAAAAAGTAAAAGATCTTCCCACCACCCCACTGAAACCCTGAAATCCCTTTCTAGGGGAAGTACCCCTGGTTGAGAATCCCAACTGTAAGCTGTGGGTAGTACAGACTCGGACTCTGTAGAAATAGGATGAGCAATAACTGAGAAATTATACATATGAAAAAAAAAATTAGATATCTCTAGACAAAGACATGGTCAGTGGGATGAGAACAATCTATCCCTGTAGATTAAATAAAGGGTTCAGTTTGAAATTCCCTGAAGGTTTTTCCAAATTGGCAGAGACCTGAATAAGGCCAGAGGGCACAACAGGCAAAACATTGTGATCACAACAACAAAGACAAAGATGTTAGTTTGACTGCAAATAATATAAACAATGATAAAAAAATTTAGACAGAAGGGATACTTGTCTTGTATAAAATGTAGAAATTAGTCACTCTTTACATTCTGCCCAAATAAGTTACATCATTTGAACTCTGTGATCTGATTTGTCCAGATCTCAAGAGAATATGACTTAAGCTAAACGGTTCTCAACATCCAGGGAATCTAATGTAAAACAACACGCTCTAATAATCACATGGTATAAATAATATGACAAGTGTAAACCACTATGGGAATAGGGAATATTGCTACTAAAAATAATATTATGAATTATGACAGATGAGCAGGCATCTTCTTCATATCAATGAAAATCCATTATCATTGTTTCAAGACAGCAATTTCAAATCACTTATCCATCTGACAGTTTTCTGACATCAGCTTCTTTCTGCTATGAATATGGTTGATGGCTGCTAAAGACAAGCAAAGTTTTAATCAATTATGTTTCTCATTTTAGTTACCTCAGGTACTCATGCCATTAAGAATAGATATAAAAATTCTTATGGAAAAGATATTGATCTGGATTAAAACCATTGATTTCTTTGATCATTTGATAAATGTGGCATTTTGTGTATAAACTAAAAATAATGCATCTACAGTAGTCCCCTTATGAAATATATTTATTCCAAGACATATATATTCCAATACACCCTCCAGCAGATACCTAAAACTATAGATAGAATAATTGTCATACCAAAACATAACATGATACATCTCTCATATTTAACATTAAATTTTATTCAGTTCCTGATTTTGTCCTGATTTGTCAAACTAGTGTGTGTGTGTGCATTTTTTTTTTTTTTTTTTTAATCGTTTCACCCCAAGCAATGCGAGAAGCTACTAGGACACAAGGGGTTACAGAAAATTTGGAGCAAGATCAGATAGGAGTGATAGAGGAAAGGATGAGAAGAAGGATAGTGGATAGATCAAGGCAACTGGAGATGTCGATTGACATTACAGTTGAATAGTTGGAGATTATAGCTCTCAGAGAAACTGGAATAGGGAAGGGAGTTCCACAGGCAAGAGGTGTGAGACATGAAGCTATTGGAGTAGAAGAGATGGCTACATTTAGGAGTTTCGACAGTGAAAGGGTGAGAGCAGGATGCCAGCCTCGTAGGGCACTTGAACTCATGAAATCTGGGAACCAGAGAATGCAGCTCCTCGGAGCAATTGCCATGAAAGTATTTGTAAAACAGACAGAGAGAGGTGACGGCGCGTCTGTGAGAAAGTGACTGTAGACAAGATGCCAAAACAGGGCCAATTATATTGCATATCCACCTCTGGAGCCTATCAAGAACCTCGAGGCAAACAGAAGGGGCTCCAGACCATAAGGCCAACAACCAAAACATGGACCTTACATTCTCAGCTGTGATGTCTGAGAGACAGTCTGTGGAGGGTGTTTACAGCTCTCTCCCATGCATGCATTTCATGTACAGCTGTTCTGATCACATGGGTATTCCACTCAACAGCCAGGAAGTCATCTGTCAGGTCAGACTTACATCTGGCTTTTCTGATTAATACCAAGTGAAAAGTCTATTCTGACTTGATCTGGGGTGAAACATATATAACATGATGAGCTTTATATATATGTTTTTTTTTCTATATATGCACACTTATGATAAACTTTAGTTTATAAATTATACATGGTAAGAGATTGGCAACAATAATTGCTAATAAAATGGAGCATTTATATTAATAGTCATGGGAACCTGTAGAAATTGTATAGTAT